TCGGTCTTTTCAGGACCGTCAGTAACTATAGCGGGTTAAACTCTATCGGCTGCTCCAGCAGAGCTTTTGCTTGGACTCATGACCTGTAAGTCTATTATGATTTGGTTTGCAGTTTTGCAAACATAGTTAGAAGTAAAAGTAAACATATTTAGTAAAATGGACTCTCTTTATCTGCTATAAAATCATCTTAATCGGTGCTAGTCCAGCACCACCAAACATCCTTTGTAAGAGATTAGATAATGGCCTATCCATATCTGCATAGCTCGCACATACTTGTGCAAGTATTGGTAAGATCAAGCCACTTACGTAGTTCATTTTTAATACTTAGGAACCGGCCAGTTAACTATGACTTTCACCTTAGCGAGATCTGCTTGAAAGTCTTGCTTCCTGATGAAGCACACTAAAACAGGATCCTCTTCTGCACCGAAGATGCACTTAGAGGCGTTGGCGTACAACTTTTTTGTGCGCATGCACTCGAGCACCGCTCGTACATGGTCAACATGAATGTCAAAAATAGACCGACCGTTCATAGTACGACTATAAGAAAAGAGACATCATCAAAAGATTTCTGTGCATAAATAACCTCGGTGAGGCCTGAAAAATCGCGTCTCGAGACGATTAAAGTTAGCGGGATTTGGCACACCTTGTGGCAAAACAATCCACTCCCAGAGCATTTTGCTCGGAGTAATGACCGCCGCCAGCGGAATATAACTCGCTAGCATGACAAATTGGTAATAAACATCGACTAAGTTTACATTGTACATCCCACCATATTGCTGTTAAAAACATCCTTTCTGGTGATTGGTGTCTGATCCAGGATGTTGGCAGCATTAAGCTTATTTTATGCATGCAAAATGCGCCACTTTCCATTAGGATTTCTGATACAAAATGTCGGTGTGGAATGGGAAGTTTTTCTCTCATGAACCATACCCACCGCGTGCTTTGCACATAGAAATTCGCTAATGACGTCACACTGTTTTTTTTTGGAAAGGCCACTGCCCTATCACGCAGAATTTGGTTGTAGGAATTAAGCTAATCTCATGACGAACACCTCTCTCAAAGGGGTAAGACAAACGGTGGATCTTGGCACACCACTTCTTGAAACTTCTTTACCAAAATACAGAAAGGATATAGAAAACATTTGAGGATAGCAGATCCACTACGCGCGCTAAGCGTCGCTCTCGTATTTTAAAGGAAAACATTGCCAATAACGAGGATAAGTTCAAATTGTTGTCGAAGAAGCGCCTAAGCCAGATAGTGGAAAGTGAACATTATGTTTAGACGATTAGTAATGCGTGAAGGGGCGAATACTAATGCGTGACTGTACGATTAGTAATGCGCGATGTGCGATTACTAATACGCGACTGTAGAGAGAGAGAGAGAGATTAGTAATGCGCAACGTGGCGATTGGTAATGCACGACAAAACGATTAGTAATGCGCGACATAGCGATTACGAATGTGCAGTTTAAGAATCCTGTAGGCTTAGAGTAGCAAAAGAGTTTGTGAACTAAGGACCTAAAAATATCCACTTTGCATTTTACCATCTAGTTCACAAATGCCTTTGTCTTTACAAATTAATGTCGGTGAATAAACACAAGACCGGATAACTTTCCTGCCTTAAGGCCTAGCTGAATTTGCCATCAGATATCTTGTCTCGTACAAAAAGAGGGAGTTAAAAGGATGGAAGAGTCTCAAGACTAGTGTTTCCATCAACATGGCGAGTCACTCCATTGACAAGTGCATATACTGTATTTGATCTATTACTACAGTGTTGCTTCAAAGGTACTCCACGTCTCTCATAGGCTGGAACGATGGGGTCCCCTTACTTGCTATCTATTGTAGCACGCTCTGTACGAGAGATCGTGTCTTGAATGACATCAAGTGATGGATTTCTGACCCCGAACAACTCTTACAGTGGATTTAAACGTATCACTTCACGTACATTATTCGGAGCTAGCCCATTACACTCTATAATTTTGCCAACAATTTCAATATCGACATTCGACGAGGTGCCATCGTAACAACACTCACTCGGTGGATTTTTACGTTCGACCCCACTCACATCACGAATTACATTCCTGATGACTCGGCCCTAGGCCTACCATGCTTTTAGCATAAAATGATCCCTCATAACAACGAGCATCACTCAACAAATTGTGTAGTGCCTTACTCATAGTGAGAAAATTACATTCGTCATTCATGTCATCGACATTTAGGTTATTTAACTCGGACATAGCGATGTCCAGCATATTGACATCCTTTTTCAAAGGCTCGCATCGCATAGTGCTATTGTTGCCTAGCGAAGGTGAGTGCATGACACTTAAAAACTATACTAGGAACATTGCACGTGGCGCCTGAGGTCTTAGACCTCCAATCAATCCACGTCTTATGGCGTTCGAGCCAGGTCATGCCCAGTATGAGATCGCATCTCGAATCATAGTCAAGGACAAGACAGCGTTCAATGCTATCAATGTCCAAAAACTGTAGAACTAAGCTCAACGAAACTTTAGATGCAGTGATGCGACTACCAGTCTCTAAACGAATGTTGATTGAGTCGTCCTCATGCGCTTTAAGAGTTAAGCATATCGCTGACTACTTTAAAGGGAGCGACGTCAAAAATCATTACATGATGCTCCGGAATCGACTAAAATTGACCAATTCTTTTCAAAGCCTTTACCTGTAGCCTCAGCGACTAACAAGCCAGACTTGTATCCACACTCTGCGCTGGCTGGCACAGAGCTCTTTGGGATAAGCCCTGTTTTACTCTACCTCGTAGAGAAGACAAAGCCCAGTTCTACCCTAGTAGGGCCATCCCCGCGTACTTCGTGTCGACGTTTCCCCATGCCATACCATATTTCTGGTTGGGTCTCGGTTTCCAAACCATGGGAGTCTGTCGTTGCTTGCGCTAAGGTTAAGAGGGACGTAAATGCATAGTGATTCTTCACGTATGACAACGTCTCACTTCCTGTCGATGCTCTGCAACCTGTAGCTCAGCTTCAACTTCATCTTCAGCATGCTGGGATTCTTCAGTTCAGGCTTACAAAAAGCCGGAGTATTTGTTGAGGTTGCCCTTGTAAAGCTTGGTTTGTTCTTATTCCAACGAAGTTTGGCCAGTTTAAGGCTATGCTCAGCATTCTAATCGACACTCACAGCCTCTTCAAAATTAGATGGATGGACCCGTAAAACCTTAGTTCTGGCCACACCAGTGTAAAGACCTTCCATATAGACAGTCACGTAGACGGTTTAAGATCGAGGGTCAGACTGAATAGCAGCCATCATAGTTCTCAACTTCTGAACAAAGTCCGCTAACTCATTCATACCCTGGCGGGTAGATAAGAAGCGTGAGCGCACGTGATATGAGTAATTGGGCGGCGAGAAACTTGCAGAAGGTCTAGCTTAAGCGAATCACTTGTAGGAAACGTCACGTTATCCCGATGTGGTGCAAGTCAGATCCAACTATCTAGCTCTCCCATCGAGCTTAGAGATGGCCAGAGAGACCGCTGGTGCTTAAGCAAGATTAGGCCAGATCTCATGGCCAACTCAATCTCACAATTCCAGAGGGTGAGATTTTCTCCCTCATTCCCAAAGTAATGTTTGACGTTAACCCTGAGAAGACGAGGCTCAACCCCTTCGTCTGGAATTTCCACTAAACGTTCTGGCATAGCCGACGCTACTTGGTTTTGAACTGGACCTAGATGGGCTGTTTAATACTACAAGAAGGCCTCGACATGCGCATTGTGCACATCGAGGCCTTGCGCAGCGAGGAATTCTACATATTCCGGGCCCACGGCTACATTTAGCTTATCAAGCGCGACCTTTCGGGTATCACTGAGGGCTGTAGGTTTATTGTAACGGGGTAGGCCGTCACAGGAAATTGACACCAAACGGTGTCAAGAGAGATTCTGTCTAGCTCGACAATATTTTACCGACATTATCCGAGATGGATACTATTGAAGGAATATTATCCCCTTTTGGATAATATTCATGCGCTGCTCAAAGATTGGTTGATGTGAGACATTTCAACCATAGGTTGCCACCAATCGCTGCTAGACGCGCGCAATGAGTGGTGAGCAGGTTGTCGTCATATGACGACGTAGTTTAATATAGTTAGATAAAGATTAAAGTTATCTTGATAGCTTAACTATGTTTAATACAGTTCTCTTTTTACCCTTACTTGAACGGGTCGTTTATGTAGTTTATCTTCCTCTGCTCGTATTAGTGTACGTGAAGTTTTGTGACACCCGGACATAGGGTGCCCCGTTACATTTTATCCATTCTAACAGAGGATTAGTCGTAATGAATCAAGTGTAGATTGCCGACGAGTGCTACCACCTTTGCGAAGCTATACATCTCCTTAATTCAGAGGAAGTATTAACGCTCTACGAGCAACGTTGGTTCACAGAACCTGACTCAGGGAGTCAACAAGCTCGAGGAGCTTTACGGCCCCCGTTCCAAGGAAGCCAACGATTCAATAGAATCACAGCACAGTGTGCTCAAGATTAGCTACCTTCACCGGCGTCGCTAAACTCTTACCGATCAAAGATGCCTCGTAAGACACGTGTCTTTAGATCGAAAGGGAAATTGTGTAATGGGGCACCCTGAGGCTTGTACTGGTGACAGTACAAGCTACTTATTCTGATAACAGAATAAGGCGGTGCCGCGTAACTTCACGTACACTGGTACGTGCAGACGAAGACGGTAAGAAGAAGCGAGTACTTGGTTAAAGTAAAAAGCAGAACTGTGTTTAGCATAGTTAATGTCTGTTGATAAATCACTATTTATCCTCATCTAACCATGTCTGAATACAAATCTGCATATAAACTATCTGCTCACCACTCATTGCGTGCGTCTGTCGTGGCGCGTCTTCGTTGGTTGATATAATGGCCTATATCAACCGATTAGGAAGTACTCGTAAGTGCTGCAGAATATTGTCTTTATGACAATAATCTGAGAATATAACTCTTGTTGGTCCGAGTCCACATTCCATCAGTTTTATCGCATGGTTAAAAAGTCCTTGCGGTGCGTGAACAAGGCCGCTGAGAGCGCGTCTGCACGTCTCTGTGCAGACGCCGAAGCAGAAACCGCTGCAACCGATGTGTCATCGGTTGCTAAAGCGTCTCAGTCTGTGTCACCTGGTGATGCAGGCGCTCGTCATGAAGACACTCATGTCTTCACAGAGTATGAGCTCGGTGTTTCATACTCTCCTGATACGGAATACGGATCCGTAACGAAGGCGATTGAAACCGATCCGCCTGCAAAGCGTGGCATGGATGATGCTACGCGTCGTAGCATCTTTGGTTCGTCTGCCGAATCAGGTGAACCATCGCCGAAGCGAAGGCGCTCGAGGTCGCGAGACTCGGGCGCTAACAGTGGTGTCGGTTCTCCTATGGACACCACTACGCAACGAGGTGCCAGTACTTCTGTCGGCGCATCGCAGGAAGAGCGGGACCGCAATGTCTTGCGTCTCGCTCCCGAGAAGAAGGCATGGATGCCTCCAAAGTCAGTCAGGGATCACTTGTCGGCGACGACGAGTGATCGTTATCGAACACGGTTGTTCGATTCGTCAAGGATTTATCTCCGTCCTGGATCACTTGTCGGCGACGACGAGTGATCGTTATCGAACACGATTGTTCGATTCGTCAAGGATCCATCACCTTGACCCCAGTGCGAAAAACTATCGCTCTGAGCATGAGTTCTTCATCGATGCTTTCTTTTAACATCGATGGTACAGTGGGAATCACAAACGTGATGGTCCCTCACTGCTTCAAGCGTGGAACGCTTACATCCATAAACTTGAGGATTTAGGTCGTGATGTTTGGAACGACAAACTTATCAAAGCTCGTGATAAGTTTGAAAAGCGAACCCCGACAGGTGCACGCTATAAGCTGCATCGTCTGTCTAGGGAGGGTGGGTTACCCTGTCTCTCCTGGGGAGACTCGTGCTCATGTTGTGTGAACAACTCTGCACGAGCACCTAAGGAGGCTTACCTCCTTACTAGCCCGTGGTGGCGCGTACGTATCTCTACTGAGATGTACGAAGGGATTGACAACCTGAAATCCCTTTAAGACCGTGCCGGGAAGACTTTCTCCGGCGGTCCTTCTGCGGCACAAGATGTGCCGCGTCGTACTGCTCAACCAGACCCAGTACGTCAACCATCAGTTGGGAGCGGGGCTCCCAAGTATCCCAGGACGGGGGGTAACCGCTCCACCGGACGAGATAACTCGTCCGACGTCCGTTCACATCGCGGTAATTCAACAGCCGCTCAATCAGATAGCGCTGGCCACCGCGAGAGTCCTCTCATGGAGGTGGAGGAGGAGGAAAGACGATCTCCGCACAGTCGTGGGGAAGCGTGTGTTCCCGAGAGTTTCTTTGATCGCGTAACGCAAGGGTTACGCGGCGATCTAGAACATGAGCGGAATAGGCGTCTCCAACTGGCGGACGCTGTCTTGAAGCATCGAGCTGAGTTTGCCTTTGCTCAGCTTGAGAACGAGAGAGCTCTGACATCTCTTCGTGACGAGCTAAGTGTAGCTCGTGTGGATATTGACCGATCTCGGGCTGAGATAACTGCTCTTCAGACCCTTGTCGATGCCCACCATCGGGAGCACAAGGCTCTCTGTGAGATGCTTGAGCGCAAGGGCGTTCTTCATCGGAAGAAGCAGCGTACTGATGGTACGGCTTAAGCTGACCAACGTAAAACGTGGGATGCGTTCGCATCTTACGTGGCAACTCGATCGTGTATGCATTGCCTAGGCGGTACAATACACGAAATGGGCCGATGTACTTGGGTAGTAGTTTACTGCTACCCAAGTTAGTCACTACATTCTTTGGTAGATTAACCGTAGACAGTAGGACTAAGTCACCTTTACTAAATAAAAGAGTGTTTGCCCTTCCATTCTTGTCAGCGTTTTGCTTTTGCTTATCCACCGCTTCGGCGATGGAGTCTTGCACAAAACGGACACCCGTTTCACGAGCCAGTATGAATTCATCTGATGACTCGTTAGCTTCAGTGCGCTGTGAGTGCACTGCAGCAACATCAACCTTTTCTTCAGTGAGGGCTTCCGCACTCTCACTGGCATCATCTTCTTCGATATCGATGTTATCGATATCGGCATCAAACGCAATGATCTTTTTGTCAGAGCGTGATGAGCGTGAAACAAATCGGTTTTTGCTCGCGCAAGTCTCTCCCCCCCTCAAACCAGAGTCACACTCTAGTAAGGTGGGTATTCGCGGATGGCGCAAGCCATTCACATTAAACGGTGTATGGGTCGTGGACGCATGCACCGAGTTGTTAATGGCAAACTCTACCATGGGCGAGAACTCACTCCAACTCGTAAAGTAGTTTACGTATCCCCTAAGTATCTCTTCGAGGACACGATTGGCACGTTCCGTCTGACCATCTGACTCTGGATGATCAGATGTCGACATCTTCAAGCGCGTTCCGAGTGATTTGAACATGGAACGCCAGAAATCAGCAGTGAATCGTGGATCTCTGTCTGATACGAGCTCACGGGGTAACACATGAAGTCGGAAGATGGTGTCAATAAAGACACAAGCACAGCCACTTGCCGTGATTGTCTCTGGTACAGCCACAAGGTGTACCATTTTGCTGAATCTGTCAACAAATACGAGAATACCCGTATTCCCGCGTGCGTCTTTGGGTAACCTGAAGACGAAATCCATTGAGATGGATTCCCAGCACTCAGCCGGAACCGGTAGAGGCTGTAAAGGTGCACGCAGTGAAGGACTTGACTTCACTCGTTGGCAGACTTCGCATGCGCGAACATACTTTCGCACAAACTGATACTGGCGGGGCCAGTAAAAGTCTCGACTTACCGTGAGATATGTTTTCTCTCGGCCACGATGTCCTCCTATAGGAGCATCGTGATACTCGAACATGATCCGCAAACGCAGATCAGTATCATCTGGAATGACAACACGTGGTGTGTCACCAGGAACGGCTGTATAGTACAGTAAACCGTTGCGAGTAGTGTATCGATCTGATGCAGATCGATACGCAGACGACAATCGTTTCAACGATTCTCGAGATGGCTATGAGAGATGTGTCAACAACTTCACAATCTCACCATCTTGGGCATACGCCCGCCTCAAATCATCATGTAACGTTGAAGATGGGACTGAGGACGTCATAACCGCAACAGTGACTGTCTCACTGTTGGGTTTCGCGACTGTTTCAAAGTCGGGCCGACGTGAGAGTGCATCAGCGACGACATTAATTCGTCCTGGTTTGTACTCAACCGTAAAGTTGTATTCTGCAAAGAATGACAACCACCGCGCCATTCGTTGTGAAAGGTGCGGGCTGTTCACTGCCGTGCGTAATGACGCATGGTCAGTGTAAACAATGAAGGGTCTATCTCCTAATAGATAGAATCTGAACTTCGCGAGTGCATACTTCATGGCAAGGGTTTCCTTGTCATGCACTGGATAGTTCCGCTCAGCTGGTTGCAGCTGACGCGACTGATAGCAGACGACGCGTTCAACGCCTTCCAGGTCGTACTGCATTAATGCACAGCCGATTGCGAAATCGCTGGCATCACAGACCACATGAAATGGCCTGTCCTGATCGGCTATTGCTAGGACTGGGGATTGTATCAAGCTCTGCTTGATACCCTCAAAGGAGCTTTGACATTCAGCGTTCCATAACCACCTCTCGTTCTTTTTCAACAAACGAGAGAGGTGTACAGTCATCTCGGCGTAATTGCGTGAATACTTATGCAAATACGCCGCTAGCCCAAGGAATTTTCGAAGACCTTTGACATCAACCGGCACAGGTCAGTCGGTGATTGCCTTGATCTTTTCGGGATCAGGACGTACTCCGTTCTTATTAACGATGCATTCAAGAAGTGGTATTTCGCTTGCTGCAATTATACACTTCTTGAGGTTGGCATACAATTGATGCTTTCGCATGATTGTAAGAACCTGTCGGAAGTGGTATCTGTGAACCTCAATGTCCGACTTTCCATCCATAGCTCGACTATGGATGAATACGTCATCGAAATAACTCGGCGCGAATTCTCGTACTGGTCTCAACAGATGTGATACACATCTGTTGAACGTGGCAGGGGCATTACTAAGCCCTTGTGGCATTACTAGCCATTCCCAGAGCATGCCGCTAGGCGTGCTCACTGCGGTATAGGGTATATCCCGTTCCCGCATAAGGATTTGATAGAAGCCATCCATCAAATCCATGGACGAAAAGATGGTACTCTTTGACATACCATCAATGATTACGTCCTTCCTTGGTGTCGGCGTTTGAGCCGGTACCGTTGCAGCATTCGACTTGTTAAATGCATGCACTATCCGCCACCCTCCTGTTGCTTTTCTCACACAGAAGGTCGGAGAGATATGTGGGGAAGTTGATTCCCTCACATGGCCCGCAGCTAAACGATCGGCAAAGAACTTGTCGATCGCAAGTACTCGTTCACGAGGCAGTGGCCACTGCTTCATGACACAGTACTTCGAGCCTGGTTTAAGCTCGACCTCGTGTCGAATACCTTTATCCTTCGGTAATTCGCACGGAACAGTTTCAGGGAATACATCCTTGAATTAAACCAAATCTTCATAGAGAGGATTTGTCTTGAGCGATTCCCACGATTGGGAGTCATATCGCTCAATTCGTGTCTTTTCATCTAGGACACTCTCGTCCATAGATGAACTACTGAGAACTCTCTCGTTCTCAGTAAACACTGTTGCTGACCTTATGTCGGTTACATACTCGTCGTCAGCGACGAGTACGCAGATCTGCTTGACTTTGCCACTACGCAGATCACGCAAGAACCTTTTATGTTCGAGCGTTGGCAACTGAGTGATCTCCGAAGTTAACTTCGGAGGCGCAATCAGATCAAGTGTATAAGCGCCTACACTTGATCCATCGTTGACTAGGACATTCAATGTCTCTGTTATTTCCTGGGGACTTATTCCCTCAGGCTTCGAAGGACTTATTCCTTCGGCTTCCCGGGGACTTATTCCCGCGGGTTTCGGGGAACTTATTTCCGCCGTATTTGTAATCTTGGGACTTATTCCCTTTACTTCCTCTAGCTGTGGTTGCGCAACCACAGCGAGATCCTCTACGAAAGACTCTCCAGTCGATCTAGGATTATCGTTTCGCTTAACCTGAGCGATCGATTGTTTCTCTTCTAGATGTTCCCCTCTAGGAATACATCTTTGTCCCAGTCCACTCGACCTATTCGAGTGGTGGACCTTCGGCGCAGCCTGTGTATCCTCACAGCCGCCGGAAATTTGCTCCGAAGTGTACCTGTTTGTTACACTAAGGTTTCGTGCAGTCGTACTAACGACCGTACCACAAGTGGGGCATCGTACTCACTCGTAGTACATCTACACGCTTGTGGACGCTCCAAACCGTTCATCAGATGGCCATCTGATGAACAAGCGGCAGGCATCGTTACTGTCCGATGTTGCCAGTTTACTCGTGGTTCGTACCTTCTGAGCCCCGGTATTCCAAGGATGACATCAAATTTGTCATCCAAATCGAATACGATAAAGTCATCATCATATTGGGTATCTTCCAACGTATATTGGATCTTCACTATACGCTTCATGACGGTTACGGATGCGCCTGTCGCAAGACGTACCGTCATCCTCGTACGAGGTGTGTCACATTCACTGAATTTAAAGTGACCATCTTCTAGCGATTGGCGTTGCACAAAATTGTTGGACGCCCCACAATCGACCAGAGCTCGAAGGGACAACTTATTCGTCACTTCGAGTTTCAAGGTAATGAGTGAGACCTCATTACCTGGAGCAGCAACGCACAACGTTTGTGTGTTGGGAGCAACCTTCATCAAGAGGCCTACAAATTCTCTTGACGTTGCTAGACCAGTAGGGTGCTCCGCACCTACTGATCCTGTCCGTTTTTTTGACGGTCCATCCCGTTGTTGCGTCTTTGCACCAACAGCGGACCCGCGTCCCTGCCCCTTTCTCATGGGTGGACGTTCATTACGCCCAGTGTTGCGAGACACTGGACGAGGGGCACTACACTCGTAAGCGTAGTGTCCTGTCTTTTGACATCTGTTGCATCTCTGCAACTTCTTGTAGTCTGTAGAGCGAGCCTTCTCGCTATCTACTTAACAGAGTTCCATCGGCTCTGGACCTCCGTTGTCATATCGTCTCGGTTGACGATACGATGTCGAGCTGGCGCGAGCCTGTCTCAGACTGAAGTCTTCCTGTTCCGCAATGGAAATGGCTTGTTCTAGTGAATCTAGTTCAAGCCGGAACAGGTGATTCTTGACGGGACCATCCGCAAGACCCTGCGCGAACACCGAAACCAACGTGTGTTCATCCACCGGATTGGAACTTATACAACTCGTGAGGTGTCGTGTATGTTGCGCGTAAGCGTGCACATCACGCTTACCCTGCTTGAGCTTCAAGAGTTCAGTTCGAGCTCTGAACTCAGCTCTCGGTGGTTCAAACGTTTGTCTGAGCCGCGACTTGAAGACTTCCAACGACCCAAACGCATATGGGTCGTGCAGCTTGAGCCCCAGTGCCCAAGTCTTGGCACGTCCTGCCAGATTTGACTGGGCAAATGCAACTTGCATATCCCCGTCGTCGATGCGACGCGCCCTTATGGCGTCATCCAATTCGACGAACCATCTCAAGAGGGAGTCCTCTTCGACCCCCCTATACTTTGAGATGTCAATCTTCAAGGTCTCGGGTCGACGCGAGTGCATCGACCCACCAGCAGCAGCCTGCTGCTGTCTCAACAGTTCAAACTGTTGAGCACCCTGTTCTCTCAACAACTCTGCTTGTTGAGAACCTTGTTGGTGAAGCAAGGCTACTTTCTCGCGTTCAGCGTCAAGTTCATTTTGAATGAACTTGGCGATAGTAGCATGTTGGGCATCTCTATTGAGAGCCTCTAGCATGACGCTAACAGCATGGATGCCCATGGTCGAACCCATTCGTTCAACCGCATCCCATTCGACATCGCTCAAATGGGAGTAGCCGTCACGCGTAGCGTGAAAGCTTTGGTCATCTCCATCATCTAACATATTCATGTTAGATGTGAACGTGGTCCTTGGACGGACTACGAAGTGCTACCAGGTGTAACGGGGCACCCTGAAGCTTGTACTGATGACAGTACAAGCTACTTACTCCGATAACAGAATAAGGCGGTGCCTCGGAACTTCACGTACACTCGTACGTGCAGAGGAAGACGGTAAGAAGAAGCGAGTACTTGGTTAAAGTAAAAAGTAGAACTGTATTTAGTATAGTTAGTGTCTGCAATAAATCACTATTTATCTTCATCTAACTATGTCTAAATACAAATGTGTAAATCAACTATCTGCTCGCCACTCATTGCGTGCGTCTGTCGTGGCGCGTCTTCGTTGGTTGATATAATGGCCTATATCAACCAATTAGGAAGTACTCGTAAGTGCTACAGAATAATTGTCCTTATGACAATATTCTGAGAATATAACTCTTATAGTTATATTCTATTTACAATTTCATATAAATTGTTATGTAACGATTCACTCCGTTACAAACTGAACTTTATTTTTTTTTATCCAAAAGAACCTCAGCGAAAGTACCTAATCTAAACACTAATTGTAACGGGGTGAATCGTTACATAACAATTTATAAGAAATTGTTAATAGAATATAACTATAAGAGTTATATTCTCAGAATATTGTCATAAGGACAATATTCGGTAGCACTTCCAAGTAGTTCCTAATTGGTTGATATAGGCCATTATGTCAACCAACGAAGACGCGCCACGACAGACGCACGCAATGAGTGGTGAGCAGATAACTGATTTACACATTTGTATTTAGACATAGTTAGATGAAGATAAATAGTGATTTATTGCAGACATTAACTATTATAAATACAGTTCTACTTTTACTCTAACCGAGTACTCGCTTCTTCTTACCGTCTTCCTCTGCACGTACGAGTGTACGTGAAGTTACGAGGCACCGCCTTATTCTGTTATCAGAATAAGTAGCTTGTACTGTCACCAGTACAAGCTTCAGGGTGCCCCGTTACACCTGGTAGCACTTCGTAGTCCGTCCAAGGACCGCGTTCACATCCAACATGAATATGTTGGATGATGAAGTTGACCAAAGCTTTCACGCTACGCGTGACGGCTACTCCCATTTGAGCGATGTCGAATGGGATGCGGTTGAACGAATGGGTTCGACCATGGGCATCCATGCTGTTAGCGTCATGCTAGAGGCTCTCAATAGAGATGCCCAACATGCTACTATCGCCAAGTTCATTCAAAATGAACTTGACGCAGAACGCGAGAAAGTAGCCTTGCTTCACCAACAAGGTTCTCAACAAGCAGAGTTGTTGAGAGAACAAGGTGCTCAACAGTTTGAACTGTTGAGACAGCAGCAAGCTGCTGCTGGTGGGTCGATGCACTCGCGTCGACCCGAGACTTTGAAGATTGACATCTCAAAGTATAGGGGGGTCGAAGAAGACTCCCTCTTGAGATGGTTCGTCGAATTGGATGACGCCATAAGGGCGCGTCGCATCGACGACGGGGATATGCAAGTTGCATTTGCCCAGTCAAATCTGGCAGGACGTGCCAAGACTTGGGCACTGGGGCTCAAGCTGCACGACCCATACGCGTTTGGGTCGTTGGAAGTCTTCAAGTCGCGGCTCAGACAAACGTTTGGACCGCCTAGAAGCTGAGTTCAGAGCTCGAACCGAACTCTTGAAGCTCAAGCAGGGTAAGCGTGATGTGCACGCTTACGCTCAACTATACGACATCTCACGAGTTGTATAAGTTCCAATCCGGTGGATGAACACACGTTGGTTTCGGTGTTCATGCAGGGTCTTGCGGATGGTCCCGTCAAGACTCACCTGTTCCGGCTTGAACTAGATTCACTAGAACAAGCCATTTCAATTGCGGAGCAGGAAGACTTCAGTCTGAGACAGGCTCGCGCCAGCTCGACATCATATCGTCAACCGAGGACGATATGACAACGGAGGTCCAGAGCCGATGGAACTCTGTTATGTAGAGAGCGAGAAGGCTCGCTCTACAGGCTACAAGAAGTTGCAGAGATGCAACAGATGTCAAAAGACAGGACACTACGCTTACGAGTGTAGTGCCCCTCGTCCAGTGTCTCGCGACACTGGGCGTAGTGACCGTCCACCCATGAGAAAGGGGCAGGGACGAGGGTCCGCAGTTGGTGCAAAGACGCAACAACGGGATGGACCGTCAAAAAACGGACAGGATCAGTAGGTGCGGAGCACCCTACTGATCCAGCAACGTCAAGAGAATTTGTAGGCCTCTTGATGAAGGTTGCTCCCAACACACAGACATTGTGCGTTGCTGCTCTAGGTAATGAGATCTCACTCATTACCTTGAAACTCGAAGTGACGAATAAGTTGTCCCTTCGAGCTCTAGTCGATTGTGGGGCGTCCAACAATTTTGTGCGACGCCAATCGCTAGAAGATGGTCACTTTAAATTCAGTGAATGTGACACACCTCCTACGAGGATGACGGTACGTCTTGCGACAGGCGCATCCGTAACCGTCATGAAGCGTATAGTGAAGATTCACTATACGCTAGAAGATACCCAAACGACGATGACTTTATCGTATTGGATTTGGATGACAAATTTGATGTCATCCTTGGAATACCGTGGCTCAGAAGGTACGAACCACGGGTAAACTGGCAACATCGGACAGTAACGATGCCTGCCGCTTGTTCATCAGATGGCCATCTGATGAACGTTTTGGAGCGTCCACAAGCGTGTGGATGTACTACGAGTGAGTGCGATGGCCTCACTTGTGGTACGGTCGTTAGTACGACTGCACAAAACCTTAGTGTACCAAACGGTTACACTTCGGAGCAAAGTTCCGGCGGCTGTGAGGAAACACAGGCTGCGCCGAAGGTCCACCACTCGAATAAGTCGGGTGGACTGGGACAAAGATGTATTCCTAGAGGGGAACATCTAGAAGAGAAACAATCGATCGCTCAGGTTAAGCGAAACGATAATCCTAGATCGACTGGAGAGTCTTTCGTAGAGGATCTCGCTGTGGTTGCGCAACCCCAGCTAGAGGAAGTAAAGGGAATAAGTCCCAAGATTACAAATACGGCGGAAATAAGTTCCCCGAAACCCGCGGGAATAAGTCCCCGGGAAGACGAAGGAATAAGTCCTTCGAAGCCTGAGGGAATAAGTCCCCAGTAAATGACAGAGACATTGAATGTCATAGTCAATAACGGATCATGTGTAGGCGCTTATACACTTGATCTGATTGCGCCTCCGAAGTTAACTTCGGAGATCACTCAGTGCCAACGCTCGAACATAAAAGGTTCTTGCGTGATCTGCGTAGTGGCAAAGTCAAGCAGATCTGCATACTCGTCGCTGAAGACGAGTATGTAACCGACATAAGGTCAGCAACAGTGTTTACTGAGAACGAGAGAGTTCTCAGTAGTTCATCGATGGACGAGAGTGTCCTAGATGAAAAGACACGAATTGAGCGATATGAGTCCCAATCATGGGAACCGCTCAAGGAAAATCCTCTCTATGAAGATTTGGTTGAATTCAAGGATGTATTCCTGAAACTGTTCCGTGCGAATTACCGAAGGATAAAGGTATTCGACACGAAGTCGAGCTTAAACCAGGCTCGAAGTACTGTGTCATGAAGCAGTGGCCACTGCCTCGTGAACAAGTACTTGCGATCGACAAGTTCTTTGCCGATCGTTTAGCTGCGGGCCATGTGAGGGAATCAACTTCCCCACATAGCTCTCCGACCTTCTGTGTGCGAAAAGCAACAGGAGGGTGGCGGATAGTGCATGCGTTTAACAAATTGAACGCTGCAACGGTACCGGCTCAGACGCCGATACCGAGGAAGGACGTAATCATTGATGGTATGTCAAAGAGTACCATCTTTTCGTCCATGGATTTGATGGATGGCTTCTATCAAATCCTAATGCGGGAACGGGATATACCCTATACCGCAGTTAGCACGCCTAGCGGCATGCTCTGGGAATGGCTAGTAATGCCACAAGGGCTCAGTAATGCCCCTGCCACGTTCAACAGATGTGTATCACATCTGTTAAGACCAGTACGAGAGTTCGCGCCGAGTTATTTCGATGACGTATCCATCCATAGTCGAGCTATGGATGGAAAGTCGGACGTTGAGGTTCACAGGTACCACGTCCGACAAGTTCTTACAATCATGCGAAAGCATCAATTGTATGCTAACCTCAAGAAGTGTATATTTGCAGCAAGCGAAATACCACTTCTTGGGTGCATCGTTGGTAAGAACGGTGTACGTCCTGATCCCGAAAAGATCAAGGCGATCACCGACTGGCCTGTGCCGGTCGATGTCAAAGGTCTTCGAAAATTCCTTGGGCTAGCGGCGTATTTGCATAAGTATTCACGCAATTACGCCGAGATGACTGTACACCTCTCTCGTTTGTTGAAAAAGAACGAGAGGTGGTTATGGAACGCTGAATGTCAACGCTCCTTTGAGGGTATCAAGCAGAGCTTGATACAATCCCCAGTCCTAGCAATAGCCGATCAGGACAGGCCATTTCATGTGGTCTGTGATGCCAGCGATTTCGCAATCGGCTGTGCATTAATGCAGTACGACCTTGAAGGCGTTGAACGCGTCGTCTGCTATCAGTCGCGTCAGCTGCAACCAGCTGAGCGGAACTATCCAGTGCATGACAAGGAACTCCTTGCCATGAAGTATTCACTCGCGAAGTTCAGAGTCTATCTATTAGGAGATAGACCCTTCATTGTTTACACTGACCATGCGTCCTTACGCACGGCAGTGAACAGCCCGCACCTTTCACAACGAATGGCGCGGTGGTTGTCATTCTTTGCAGAATACAACTTCACGGTCGAGTACAAACCAGGACGACTTAATGTCGTCGCTGATGCACTCTCACGTCGTCCCGACTTTGAAACAGTCGCGAAACCCAACAGTGAGACAGTCACTGTTGCGGTTATGACGTCCTCAGTTCCATCTACAACGTTGTATGATGATGTGAGGCGGGCATACGCCCAAGATGGTGAGATAGTGAAGTTGTTGTCACATCTCTCCCAACCATCTCGAGAATCGTTGAAACGATTGTCGTCTGCGTATCGATCTGCATCAGATCGATACACTACTCATAACGGTTTACTGTACTATACAGCCGTTTCTGGTGACACACCACGTGTTGTCATTCCAGATGATACTGATCTGCGTTTGCGGATCATGTTCGAGTATCACGATGCTCCTATAGGAGGACATCGTGGCCGAGAGAAAACATATCTCACGGTAAGTCGAGACTTTTACTGACCCCGCCAGTATCAGTTTGTGCGAAAGTATGTTCGCGCATGCGGAAGTCTGCCAACGAGTGAAGTCAAGTCCTTCACTGCGTGCACCTTTACAGCCTCTACCGGTTCCGGCTGAGTGCTGGGAATCCATCTCAATGGATTTCGTCTTCGGGTTACCCAAAGACGCACGCGGGAATACGGGTATTCTCGTATTTGTTGACAGATTCAGCAAAATGGTACACCTTGTGGCTGTACCAGAGACAATCACGGCAAGTGGCTGTGCTTGTGTCTTTATTGACACCATCTTCCGACTTCATGTGTTGCCCCGTGAACTCGTATCAGACAGAGATCCACGATTCACTGCTGATTTCTGGCGTTCCGTGTTCAAATCACTCGGAACGCGCTTGAAGATGTCAACATCTGATCATCCAGAGTCAGATGGTCAGACGGAACGTGCCAATCGTGTCCTTGAAGAGATAATTCGAGGATACGTACACTCCTTTAAGAGTTGGAGTGAGTTTTTGCCGATGGTAGAGTTTGCCATTAACAACTCGGTGCATGCGTCCACGACACATACACCGTTTTACGTGAATGGCTTGCGCCATCCGCGTGTACCCACCTTACTAGAGTGTGACTCTGGTTTAAGGGGGGGAGGGACTCGCGCGAGCAAAAACCGATTTGGTTCACGCTCATCACGCTCTGACGAAGAAGTCATTGCGTTTGATGCCGATATCGATAACATCGATATCGAAGAAGATGATGCCAGTGAGAGTGCGGAAGCCCTCACTGAAGAAAAGGTTGATGTTGCTGCAGTGCACTCACAGCGCACTGAAGCTAACGAGTCATCAGATGAATTCATACTGGCTCGTGAAACGGGTGTCCGTTTTGTGCAAGACTCCATCGCCGAAGCGGTGGATAAGCAAAAGCAAAACGCTGACAAGAATGGAAGGGCAAACACTCTTTTATTTAGTAAAGGTGACTTAGTCCTACTGTCTACGGTTAATCTACCAAAGAATGTAGTGACTAACTTGGGTAGCAGTAAACTACTACCCAAGTACATCGGCCCATTTCGTGTATTGTACCGCCTAGGCAATGCATACACGATCGAGTTGCCACGTAAGATGCGAACGCATCCCACGTTTTACGTTGGTCAGCTTAAGCCGTACCATCAGTACGCTGCTTCTTCCGATGAAGAACGCCCTTGCGCTCAAGCATCTCACAGAGAGCCTTGTGCTCCCGATGGTGGGCATCGACAAGGGTCTGAAGAGCAGTTATCTCAGCCCGAGATCGGTCAATATCCACACGAGCTACACTTAGCTCGTCACGAAGAGATGTCAGAGCTCTCTCGTTCTCAAGCTGAGCAAAGGCAAACTCAGCTCGATGCTTCAAGACAGCGTCCGCCAGTTGGAG